AACAATTAATACACCTGTAATCACTAATACATCTCTAATAATTAATACACCTGTAATCACTAATACATCTCTAATAATTAATACACCTGTAATCACTAATACATCTCTAATAATTAATACACCTCTAATAACTAATACACCTCTAGGTAACACACAAACCAAACAGCTCTCGACATTTTAAAATAAAAGTATTATCCTATGCAAATAGAAATTGTAGAACGGCAATCAACTTTCCTAAAAATATCCGTCGTAACAAGATTGGCTCTATTTACCTAACAGTACGACCATTTTCGTTGTATATTTTAAAGAAAAAAACAAGAACTCGAGTTTATTCCAACCCTTGTTTTTTTCTGTTATCCAAAGGAAAATTTAATCAGAGCGACAAAGAAAGTACTTTACTGCCTTAACTGTCTGGTTGCAATCTATATCTCATATTAAAGTTTAAAACCACTTTTGTCATTATAATTAATTATTCGGTGCTCAAGAATGTTTCAATACCACTTTTTAGTTAGATGCGTTTTCATGACAGACATTCAAGATTATCGTTATAGAGAATTCCTAGATTTTGTTGTACCCAGATCATTACTCTGTTTCCTTCCTCCAAGCTTCAGAGACGATGTTTCCTCTCATTACGAAAGCGTGAGTCAACTTACGCAGTCATCAGGAAGAAGAAATTCAACCATCTCGGAAATGCTAAGATTTCGTTTGTTTGTTTCATAATTTCTCGCAAAGCTACACAAGGGCTATCTGCCCATAACCATCCACAGTTTGAATTGATGGACTTGAAAGAGAGAAGCTCTTCAAAAACTCCATTGCTAACTCTTGATTTGGTTTGTTATCAATTTCGCGCAAAGCTACATGAGGGCTATTTGCGCTAGTCGTCCCTAATTTAGCAGTGTAAGACAAGAGGGAAGGCAGCTAGTCATCACCACCCACCGCCAACTCTTGGGCTACTCTTTTACCAACGATTGACCGTCACATTATAATGCCCCCACGGTTGAAAGGGCGAGCATGTTTGGTGGGACGGGGATTCGAACCCGCGACCCGCAGATTGTGAGTCGAGCGCCCTAACCACCTGGCCATGCCGGGTGCGCTAACTGTTGCCTGATCGAATATTGGGACACTACTAGTAAATGCGTTTTGTGGGGCCACAGTTTACGAAACAGAAATCGTCGAATTCACAGTCCGGGCACGCTAACAACTAGGTCACGCACAGCCAGTTCAAAATTAAATTTGTTCTAAAAATTCTGAAAGGTGATCTTTAATCTGGAATATCAATAAAGTATAAAATAATTTAAAACAAACGAATATATTATTGCTAACAATAAGCCTGCGCGTCGACCGCGATAGAAATACATATAAAGTCTGTAGGTGAATTTCTCGAGCCCTCACAACATCAGGGTCAAGGTGATGTGATGTGATGAAGTAACTATTCTTATTTTCTATTTAGGGTCTTCAAACTTCGCATGAAGAGAGACGTATCCATCTTTACCCAGGACGTCCTAATTGAGTCGTCTACTCGAGGGGTGATTCCTTTTGATACAAGCAGGGTTCTTATAGGTCACTTGGAAGGTATGTATTGCTGAAGTTCTAGCGGTTTTCTAGAAACTCAACGAAGACAGTTTTGACGGTACTCACGTCGTGTCTGTATAAGATAAGTTTTCTTTTTGTTTATAAATTTGCATTTCCCAACAGTGAAAATGCTAATAAAATCAGCAAGTAGTTACCATTATAAATACGTGGTCATTTTAGCCTATATAAGTAAAACGACAAACTGTTGTGATAACATTAAACTTAAGATAAGCAAAATATACTATAAATACTGTTAGAGGCTTATTTCAGAAAGATATGATATGTATTCATTAACTTCGTAAACTTATGTAAATATCGGAACCAAGAAGTACGCGCGTGATAACATTCATTAATCTCCACCAGGGGCTTTCACTTGAGCAAATTAAAGTGACAGGTGAGTTTCTGTGCTTTGAGAACAACTGAGTATATATATATATATATATATATATATATTCATCAAATGTTATTTACTTCCTTTATTGAAGAATAAAACAAGTACGGAGTGGTAAAGTTCACAAGCTTTTACCAGACACTGTTTTATAATGAGATAATTATAATAAATAAATAAGCAGCGACTGTTATATCTTCAGACGCTCTGACATACATTTACTAATATATTCACTCAGCTTAAGACACTCAAAATCATTAATGTAATTCAATATTTCTATCTCAAAGACTAAATTAATAACTCGATCTTTAAGCATCAACGACAAATGGAAATTAAATCATCTTTCTGATATATATGTATATATATGTATATTAAGTTTATGAAACTTAGAAATCTTTCGTATAAAAAGAAAAATATTAATGCAGTGCCACTATGAGTAACATATATATATTTGTATATTAAGTTTATGAAACTTAGAAATCTTTCGTATAAAAAGAAAAATATTAATGCAGTGCCACTATGAGTAACATATGTATATATAATCTTGGCCAAAATGTCTGAGTATTTTGAAGCAAATAAAATCATTATTATTAAGATGGAATACAAATACACTTAGCACTGTCCCACTGAGAAATGCATGTTATATTATACATGTGTAATTTGTATAATGAGACAGGTTCTATGGACATCGTGAACTATTTATTAAAAAAGCAAACAATTTTATAAAATACCTTTAGAAAGATGTGTAATTCATCATTTCACCTATCACAACGAAACATTACCAAAACATATATAATGACAAAATATAACATCTGTTAACCTGATCAAAACACGGTCATCTCGAGCAGTAGTTTTCCGGTGTCTACCAGTAGACTTTCGTGGAACAACGTTTCCTGTACTCCGATGACGTTTGAGGATTCTGGATACAGTACACTGGGGATACCCTACTGTTCTGGCAATGTCCGTTTGATTCATATCATTTTTGGACAGTTAAACAATTTGATGCCCTATAACTTGTGGCACGTGACGAGGCATGACTCTACACCAAGTACATAGAAACTGTCTGAACAAACCATTGATCTGTTTCGAAAAATATTATACCAAAAGCACGCTCTTTTATACAAAACAGGTGTGTATGCACGTTTTGACGAACAAATGTTCAAAAGAACTTATACAGACCAGAATAACAACTCGTACATGTTTGTCCGGTCATATGCTACCTTCCCTATTACTACTCGAGCATTTACTCAATAACTACTCCATGCATGGAGACAATAACATCAATATAGAACAGTATGCAAAGATTTTGGCCAAGACTATATATATATGTATATAATAAAATTGTTCAACTTTGAAAAGCTATCAGTCCCCTGGTGGTTCAGCGACGAGTCTACAGACTTATAACATTAAAAATTGGATTTCGATACCAGCGGTGGGCAGAGCACGGATAGCTAATTGTGCAGATTTGTGCTTAACAACAAATAAACAAAAGCTATCGGTAAGAGAAATAAAGAGCAAAACGTGAATCCTGAGAAAAAGATGTGTAAGAAACAATTGTGTGAACAAGCATAAACTGCTAATACAATAGAAAAACGAGTGAATTAAAAAAAGAAATAATAGGTGTGCTTATTTTAAAAAAACTTTCGCTCCAAGTTACACAATGGGCTATCTGCGCATGGCCGTTTCTAATTTTGAATTGATAGATCAGAAGGTTTGTTGGTTTGAAGTTAAGCACAAAGCTACACAATGGGCTATCTGTGCTCTGCCCACCACGGGTATGGAAACCCGGTTTCTAGCGTTGTAAGTCCGCAGACATTCCGCTGTGCCACTAGGGGGTAAATCAGAAGAAAAGCATTTACTGAACAATAACCACCGCCAACGCTTGGACTATGTTTTCCGCCTGATTAATTGTTTGTTTGTTTGTTTGTTATGAATTTCGCGCAAAGCTACACGAGAGCTATCTGCACTAGTCGTCCCTAACTTAGCAGTGTAAGACTAGAGGGAAGGCAGCTAGTTATCACCACCCACTGCCAACTCTTGCTCTACTCTTTTACCAACGAATAGTGGAATTGACCGTCACATTATAACGACACCACGGCTGAAAGCATGTTTGTTGGGACGGGGATTCGAAATCACGACTCTCAGATTGCGAGTCAAACGCCCTAGCCACCTGGCCATGGTGGGCTTTTCCTGATTAATAGTGGTAGTTGACCGTCACTCTTATATTGCAAAATGCTTTTTTTGCGGGAACAGATGTTAGAACAACGATAAACTGTTGGTATGATAAAATATATGGTTGTGAACCCTAAATAAACTTTTGGAAAGGTAAGATAATAAGATAATATATATATATATATATACAAGCTGAAACACCTGTCAACTGATGGGGAAGGTTTAAACTTAATTGAAACAATGTAAGTTCAACAGCAACTATATATTTTAAAGTAATAACTTGAACATAAAATTCATCTCAAAATTCTGAAATTATAACATTTTATAAAATCATAAACAACATTTGTAGTTTGCTTTCTATCTACCAATAAATAAAGATTCTGAGGTGATCCCACCCTTGAACACCCTACATATCATTGACCACGAGAAAAGTATGGTTGTTTGAGATAACTTTTATACTTTGACCTTGAATCCCTTTGGAATATCCAACATTGTCTAAAGCGTCAACTTGCCAAAATTGTTTGAGACTGACTCAATAGGCTGGGAGTAATTAACCAACAGGCTTTACAAAATAGAAATAGAGTTAAGTTTAATTTTGACCCCCTTAGGACATTACCCATAGTTCATAGTGCCTACATACGAATTTTGGTTGAGATTGGCCCAATAGGCTCGGAGGAGTTAGGTACAAACAAACACACATTTTGTCTTTATATATATATATATATATATTTTTGATGTTTCACACATCTAATATTATCTTACTATCCTATCGCAGTCTTCACAAAAACATTCTCTGTTATCTTACGGATATTTTGTAGAGCTCTCAACAACGTTTCTAAAAAAATCCATACATCTCCTCTCCTTTCCTTACTCAGTATTTTCATTTTCTCAATGGCAGTTTTTTATCACATCTCTTGTTCCGTATTTTTATGTACCATTTAAGGGTTCACTCTTCTTCCTTATTGACCTCTTTCACTGGCTTTTAGCTTGACACATATTTTATCTTTAATTCACTAACATTTATGTACAACTTTCTTTCACCTTAACGTTATTTTTTTCAAGTTTCATTACGTTAACTTCTTTGTTCACACATCTTATTTAATGGATAGTTTTGATTTTAAATCAGTCTCATACATATATACATATATAAATGTATATGAGTTTAAATACACATGCTTTTAAAAGGCTGGATGTAACGATTGCTAAGGCATAGAAAGTTATATATTTAGCTAAGACACTTTCACAAGACTTGTATGGTACTGATGGAAACCTCAGGAGTCTAAGATGGAATAATTTGGATTGTGTGACAACTATAGGGATCGAACTCCGAATTTTAACGTATGTAGCCCTCAATATTACGGTTTCCAGGGTTCGCAACTCTCTTTGTCAAATAATTCTATGAAAAACGCACTACCATTAGAGATTGCTCATTTTAAATCATCTTCTAAGCCATTTTTCAACACAATATTAAAGAATTGTCAATACAATACGTAGGAGTTTAATAAAAAATAAAGATACGGAGGGTAAGACAAAAATCAAATTAACACACACACTCTCTCTCGAAGGTTGACTCGACATCGAAATGTATCTAAAGGTGCAAGGCAAAGATTCGTCTTTCTTTAGGAGTTTAATAAAAAATAAAGATACGGAGGGTAAGGCAAAAATCAAATTAACAAACACACTCTCTCTCGAAGGTTGACTCGACATCGAAATGTATCTAAAGGTGCAAGGCAAAGATTCGTATTTCTTGATGATGTAAAATGTTTAGAGCTGAAAAAAAGTGCAGTTAACATCTGCTTTTCATGGGCTGGTAATGGTGTTGACCAACTTCTACTCGGCTATTAACAGTTCCAGTATCAATGATAAAGTAATGACTGCAGTTGGGATGTAGAAAACAAAACGCATCATTATTTCATGAGATTTAGTCTATTTATTTCATAACTTTTAATCGTTTTAGATTCTATGGCACATTGCGCATCCATTCAAAAGCTATATTTTACAAGTAAAACTATAAATACTTATTAAAAGAAATAATACTTAATATATATTAAATAAAGCATTTTTTCCCCTGGTACAGATGACAAAGAATCTCCGGCAGAAGGCGTTCTCACCCAGGATGGAATGTTTGACGGTGTAATCTATTCTCGAAGTGGAGACGAATATCACGTTGAACCAGCCTCTCGTTACTTTACATCACCTAGGGCCTTTCATTCCATTATGTACAGACTGTCTGACGTCCACTTTCCTGTACAAAATACGTGTCTTTCTCAGCATCTTCATGATACGTTAAAAGGTTCCTCTTTATTATCAGCACATTCTTTTTCACCAAAGCATTTTTCATTGTTTTCGTTGACTTCGGAAAAACTACAACCGAATGTTCGTAGTAGAGTTAAACCAGAAAAAAACTGCTGCGGCAAAATTTATTCCTTGCATTCTTCGCGTAATAAAAGGAGAAAAACATACTCAAAACATAGTTTTTCTACTAAAAACCATACTTATATTTATTTAAAAAAATACAACCCTCTTACTCATTCTCGCGATCATGCTGAAATCGACACATATACTGATAGACACCAAGAAAAGGCCTTACATAATTCAGCTTCTGTAAACTCTAAATATCTTCGTCTCCGTCGAGAGGTCGTCGATGATAACCCCATCTACTGGAGAGACGTTGATGCACTGCACTACAAAAACAAGATTTTACAGACCCAGTTTGAGCCCCACGGACTTCAGTCGGGTCAACGGGTCCAAACAACGGCAACAGATCCTGGTCAACCAGTGACCCTTGATTTTAAAAAGTCCACGTGCATGCTCTATCTTCAGGCTGATCACCTTTTCTATCAAAAGATGGGCGGTGAAGAAGCATGTATCGAAGCTATGACAAGGCATGTTCAACGTGTCAATGGAATTTTCAGAACTACAGGTAAAGTCAATTTAGAACATTTTAGAACCTTTAAAATGCACCAGCTTTATACGTAGTTAAGTCACAATAAAATAAACCTGATAATCTGAACCATTCTTCTTCGTGGTAGTCCAACAGAGAATTGTCTTATGTTAGTTTTTGAAAGGAAGCTTATAGATATGATAGTGATTTCTGGTTACGAAAAAATAATGGATAGAAAAGAAACGGAAAGTATTCAAGACAAAGAAATGAGTAAAAAAGGAAAATAAATTAAAATAGAGTAAAAATTCAGTTATTTAGTAGAAATAAAATTTCAAAACAAACAAGGAGTCTAAAACTGATTACAAAGATAAAGAAATAATATAAATAAAGATTAGAAATTCACATCTAATTCCTGTCTCACCCCCTCAAAAAGGGAATTCTACCTTCTGAAAGCGCTGGGGTTATCATATTTATTTATTTATGTTTTACCCCCTTTTATTTTGTTTGTTTTCTGAGCACCTTAATCGTTTATATATAACTAATATTAAAACTTTTTGATAAAGTGCCTTTTCACAAATTTGTATTGAATGAAATGCAAACTTTATTATCTCTGTTCAACATTAACTAACCACTCTGTTATTATATATATATATATATAATATTGTTTTGGAAAAATATTTTCCGTCAGGATGAAAATATGTCATTGTGGGGTTAACACTATTGGCAACATTGTTATCTCATGTAATTTGTTCTTCTAAAGGAAACAAAAAATCAACCCCTGTCACGAGAAATTTTCCCACAGCATTAAGCTATCTCTCCCAGCCTGAAGTTTCGTAATACCATGGCCATGGCGATTTTCTTCTTTACTCTCACCAGAGAAATGAGCGAAACAGGACTCAACATACCACACCACACGATTCCAGTAATTTTTTATCCACAGATTGTCATCTAAGTACCACTGAAGCTGTGTTTTCTTGTTTGCATTTAAGATTAAGGTTTTTTGGACTGATTTTTGATGGACATATAGCATGGTGTGGTTCTTGCTCTTTTGTCTATTCCCTTGGCTACCAGCAGTTATCTGCTAAAGCTTTTCATAATACAATGTATATTCTCGTTTGATTTCTACTGTTGATATATAATGATGATTGATAATAAAAGTTTGGAGACGGCTTGACTGGGTAATAAAAATAACTTTATTTAAATGTACGACGTTTCGATAAGATTATGTCATACTCAGATGCAAGTAGTTTACAGTGGGCTCCTCGTCATCAAATGATGATAGATGTTTTTGAATAAATGGTCAACGAAATACTCTTTGTTAAGGACGTTCGTATTAGAAAGGCAATTGATTACTATCAAACCCCTTTAAGGGTCTGGAAGATCCTTGCTCTTTACCACTGTCTTACAGATTAATCACGATGTAAATAATCTATACAATTATGTGACTCACCACAGAATCGTTTTGTTTTGCATATGCAAATAAATTAAGTGTTTTATAAGTACACGTGTGGGGATCACAATAAAGTGACTAGTCAGTATAGTTCAAGCATAAGTAACTTGATGAAGGGTACAGGTAGAAAGTTCGAAGTTTCTCAGTTATGAGTATTTTAAAATAACTGACCAGTTATAGAATTTCGTTTTTTTAGGTTAATTGAATTGAATGTATTGAATCTTTTATACAGACGTATTTTTATAAAATTATATAGGTTATTTTCATATACTGATATATTCATTTTCGTAAAATGAGAAATATTAGTTATTAGTTCTAAAACCCGAATGCACGTTAAGCTACAGCAGCTAAACCATTTCAAAACATATTTGCTCATAGCTGGTTATAATTGGTTATTAGATATTTACTATTACAAATTTCAGTATCAGTGATAAGGTAATAACTCCGGTTGGGATGTGCGAAACAAAACTATTTAGAAATGTTTTTTTTATTTTTGTTTAGTAAGAAAAATAACTAGAAGCAATAGAGTAAAGTCTAAAAAGCAGAAACAAAATTCAGTTTTTTTTTACTACTCTTTTACCAACGAATAGTGGGATTGACCGTCACATTATAACACCCTCACGGCTGAAAGGGCGAGCATGTTTGGTGGGATGGATATTTGAACCCGCGACCCTCAGATTGCGAGTCAAGCGCCCTAACCATCTGGCCATGCATTGCCGTTCCGGGATGTTAAGTAGCTCCTTCTTGACAATAACTCCTCTCGAGGAATTCAAAATAGTATGGCGAATAACCATAATAGCCATGATCCCCAATAGCCTGCGAGGTTAAGAGGAGTTCACTATCTTCTGGTTGTAATGTTTCGACCAATAGGTTCTTAACCAACTTTGGGGAGCCATCAAGCCCCTCTAATCCCTTTTGGATAAGAAAAGGATACAGGTTAGTAAAATACTTTTCTTATATAGCTTGTACCTTATTCTAGGGTCAACAAAGTGCCAGTATCAGATATTCTTAGCCGACGTTGTGGACATTATATCTAGTGGTATTTGGGTACAATGCCCACAAAATCTAGTGTTCCTACACCATCCCAGTTTTGAGAGTATAACATGTCCCCTTGTTCGGCCCCATGACTGATAAATCAGTTGATACTGAATGCTCTTCTGTTTTTTTCTTGTAAATAATAAAACTCCAAAAATCGAAGAAAATAATAATTACGACTGTGAATGAAAGACTGAAACACACAGTTTTCATCTCCATTAATTAAACCCTTGAACGTGGACTCCTGTACGTGATTATGGGACCTCCCAGGGAATGTTCTGTCTGTGCACTTAACCTTCTCTGGAATCCAAACCCCCTCTCACGTGTTGCCTTGCGTGGCAATTGTGAAGGGGAGGATCCTGATGGTTGAGTGGTACTTGTAGTACTGCAACACACCACTTTAGCCATAAATTCCTGTAGACAAGAAGTCTTGAGTGGCTCCCCTAGTATCAATCTGCTGGTCATTTGTGGACTTTTGTCTAATGTTTCCTAAAGTAGTAACTGAAATTGTACTTATTTACACACTATTTGTTGTTAGAGTTGAAGTAGCGTTTAACGTAATTCAGAATAACCATAAAGGCTGATTATCATCAAGATCGGAAAAGTCTTGGGTAATCGAATTACGTTAAATTCTTTATTTAGGTTTTTAACATTAATTTGTCATAAGACATTAGTATTAGGATTATTATATTTATTTTAACATCATATTCGTTAATCAGTCTCTTAGGGATTTTTCAAGGAGCAGAAGAGTGTATAATAGTATTTTAATCACACCATTGCATATAACACGTTTCGCTCGATACAAAGCTCATCAAGTTGGCCGAGACACAATAAACACAGTAGTTGTGGGAACACTGTTTATATCAACCACTGATTACAACAACAATATTAATTTGACTTAATATTTAAATAACTTCAGCTCCATACTTGTTCAGTAACACCCGACAATCCACGCAGGTGGCGCTGGTCTCGAGTTACAAATACATTTGTTTCAAATATTGGACGTTGAAAAGATTAACAGTAGAAGGAATATAATAACGTACTCATTTTATGCTATACTAGGACTGCTAAAAATAGGTAATACACGGGCTTTCTTTGAAGCGGATTTTAATTATTTATACTTTAGCACGGTTGAATAATCGAAACCGAGTGCATTTAGGACAAATGTGGGATTGGTGATTAGGACTAAAAGACAAGTTAATTTAAACAGAGATAGAATATTCGTTTTCTGTGAAAACGAAATTAAAAATGGCAATTATTAAGTGCAAATATAAACTATGGTCAATTTTCAGCAAATTGAGAAATCAATACTTCTAAGGGGGATGAGCACGTGACTTTTTAGCTTGCTATATTAGTGACAATAATTAAACGAATAAATATTTAATCTCAAACCAGCTACAAAAAAAAAAAACCTTTTATAAGAATTTATTAATTTACGTTTTTCCAAACTGTAGAGAACATATTTTTGTTCAATTTGCAGATGGTATTGAAACACTTGGCGTGTGTATATTAAAGAAAGCTACGTATGAAATATAGACAAAAACAATTATACGGGCGCTGCGTGTTCAAAGTAACGATGCGTATAAAAAGTGGCGTCTAAAATGGAGTATTTAAAAAAAAACAACTCATAACAAGTGGTCGTGTTTTTAGGCTAGCGACAGGTATACGAAATCGGCTGCTCGTGTTACGATTGATGCCGAAATTTGGGGAAACACTCCTCATTAAAGTAGTTTAAAAGCGCCCATCGTTCATTATCAGAAATATGTAACAGAAAAAAATAAAAAGTCGATCGTACATTTCCACATACAACCGTTTTAGAAGAAGTTCAAAAGTTCCCAGACATTTGTTTTCTTCTTCTTGAAAATTAATTGCTGTGGAAGATTTTGCTTGGAGCATTCAGATAGACTTTTAGAAAAAAGGTCAAAGAAGCTGTGAGTACTAGATTCGAAAGATATTGATGAATCGAAGTATTTTTGTTCGTAGTTTCTTAACGGACTGTAAAAACAACGAGGTTATTCTGTTTCGTTTTTTTTTAAATATATATTTACAACTGAATGCTGGATAAATCGCTGAAACATCTGAAATTTCTTATTGGTGAATTAAAAAGTAACGATGCCTCATTACGAAATGAATAGCATATCGGTGTTTGTGTGTTTGTCTTCATTCTCCAAAACAAGATTCTGACACAAATACAAGTACGTATATTTATCATAAGTTGCGAAAACTTCAAGAGAGAAGTACGCTCACATGCATCATCATTTGAAAAACGATATATTAGAAATACGGGTACAAAACTATAAAACTTAAAAAGTACATAGTCATAAATTATAAAACTATTAAAATAACAGTAACTATATCTTCTGTTGCAAGAACGCTTAATACGTTTGTTTGTAATTAAGCACAAAGCTATACAATGGGCTATCTGTGCTCTGCCCTCCACGGGTATCGAAACCCGGATTCTAGCGTTGTAAGTTCGCAGACAAACAGCTGTGCCATTGGAGGAGAGAACGCTTAATAAAATTCGGGTATATGTGTGTATATATATATTCAGTGA